GCCCCTGGCTGGGCAGCAGGCAGCTCCCCGTCGGAGAGGACCCTGCCAGGCCTCCCCCACGGAGATGAGATGGCCCACCCTGCAGATTGCCTCCAGTTTGGCTCTGCTCCCGCTGAAGCTGAGCTCTGCTAAGAGAACACAGGAAGGCTTTAGAAGAGTTTTTAAAAGACTAATTCTGATGGTGAGAAAAGAAGGGAACATAATGATCGGTTGGATTCTGGAGCTGGTTTCCTAATAAAAATTGCTGAGCAGTGACGTGATAGAAGAGACAGAAACAAATGATTTCCGAGTCACAGGGAATTAACCCAGAGGCTCGCCAATGGTGCATTAATATCGCTGGGCAAATGTCTTAATGCGATTGAAGAGGGCTTCCTTGTTTATATGGAGAAGATCATTTCAAGGGTTTCTGAAAAGCAGAGAAATGCCTCGGGGCTTGGGGCCCAGGCGAGGGGTGAAGAGGACAAGTGCCAACCTTCAGAGCTGGGGTCTCGGAGAAGAGAACGGAGAAGCGAGCCTCCTGGCAGGGGCAGGCCTCGGCAGGGCCGGTGGGAGTGGCACCACCCCCTCTCAGAGCCTGACGGAAGCTCAGAGTTCAGGGCAGTGCTGTCTCCAGGGCAGTGCTGTCTCCGGAGGGCTCGCCCTATTGTCCTGTGAACCTCAGTGCCTCACACCCTGTGGGGGTTATGAACTCTCAGGGGACGTGATTCTGCCCCACAAATCCTAAACGGGGACCCATGCCCACATATTGCAATGGCACCAAGGAGATGCCACAACTCACAGAACTCGCTGCACAGGGTTCATGGCCCTGCCCACACCTACCAGGCCTACAGCCTGCCCATCCCAGCCCGAGCCAGCTCCTCTGCACAAGCACCTGGGGAGCACTTTTTAGGAGGGGGACTCACACATTGGCAGAAAGAGCAGAGTGGCTCTGAGGATGGTCCCTGAGGACAGGGAGCCTTCCGAGGGCCCTGGTGGGAAGAGCAAGCACAGCAGATCGGTGGGGCCAGGGAGCCTCGAGCCATGTTTCCTGAGAGATGAAAACAAACTCACAAATACACTGCGCAGTGATTAATGAAATGTTTTGTCCTCTCAGACCACCCTTAACCTGGCTGGTAGAGAGGCAGGCCCCTGTTAGGAATATTCAACGGATGTCGGTGTCTTTATCGGCGTTAGGAAGAAAGGGGGGAAATGCCAGGATTCTTCATTATTTGGGTGATCATTTACTCTACGTCAGTGGTTGGCAAACTCATGGCCTGTCAAATCCGGACAACTCCCTTTTAAATCCCCTGCACCTGCAGCCATTAAAGAAGTTACCTCAAAAGAAGCGAGTTTATTAATTGGTTTGATGGAAGAGAGCCAGACTTCACCTCAGACCAAGAGACATCATGCAGACACCCAGAAAGCAGAGATCCAGAAAGCAGCTGCTAAACAAAACCACAGTGAATAGTGAACAGAACATAATTCTTGATAGCTGAAGTTCTCCAGATGCACAGAACTGTAAGGGGCTAGTAGAGGCAGCTGCCGATTTGGGATAATTCCAAGGGCTTTCAGAGAGCAAAGCTCTAGCTATACTCAGGACTGCAGGTCATGTTTATGGAGGAGATGCATTGCTGAGCTACCCTGATGCTGTGTGCGACCTCACTCCCCTCTTCCTTTTATTGTGAAGACAGCAGCATCCCTCTTCCCAGGTCTCCCTCACAGCCCTGCTAGGAGCCAGGCCAGGCGGGTCCAGATCAGAACAGGTGGATGAGCTGTCATTGGGTAATGCAATGGGACATGTGAGTGAGCCGTCATTGGGTAATGCAACGTGACACTGGTGCCCACCCCAAAACTCACAGCCTCCATCCGTAGCACAGGCATCCATAAGAACAGTGCATAGATCACCCCATGCCCCACTATGATTTAGCCTGGACTCCAGTTCCACTACTAATGTTAATCACTCTCACTTCATGACCCAGTTAAGAGTGCCCAGGACTCATATAGTGTGAGGTTGCAATTGGTCATCCGGTTGTAGCCCTGAGTCAGGTATAGGACTTACACAACACACACACACACACACACACACACACACACACACACACACACAACAAACAAACAACATGAAAATATCCTAGACTTCTCCATAATCTGCTGGGCCCGGTAAACTGAACAGAAACACTCATAGTGTTGCTTATTTACTTCTCTTTCAGCTCTAGCTCAAAATCAAAGCTAAGGTTTCCAACCTTAAGTATCTTAGGATAGACAATAACATCTTCTGTTTTGAAGAATAATGCTTTATTAAAACAGTCACAGTGCCTCTATTATTTATATACACCTACACTGTTCTGGAGAAGATTAACAACCCCACTGCCCAAGCCTTTGAATTCTCAGAGAAATACTTTCAAGCAACCTGCAAGGTTCATTTTTCCTTCCTTGGTGCCAGGTTATAAGTATTGACGTTAAGGCACTGGGCTATTTCAGGGATTCTCAAACACTCAACTTTGACAGAAACAAGCAAGAAAGACATCAGTGCAAATAGGAAGAAAAACGTTTATGTGGTGTCAAGACAAATTTGCCAGGACAAACCCAAAGGAAGTGCTGGTCAGCCAGGGTGAAAGCTGTTGCTTTAAGATGAGTAGAGTACAGCCTGGCAAGCCTTTGCTCATCCTCAGACAGCCTCAGTATTCTAGACTGTTTTGTGTCTTTGAGAAAAATATACATAGTTCTTACTATTTAGAAACAGTTCTAACACAAGGACAGAAAGATTCCAAAATAATGTGATTCCACAATGCAAATTAATTCCACATATTCACACTTAGAAATACTGACATGAACTGAATAGTAATCAGAAGCAAAGTTCATGTCACCTTTTCTCCTTGTGGTTATTTCTCTTCAACTCACATGGTCATCCCACCCATTGTGAACACAACTTTCAGTAAGAAATGTGCCTTCCTTGCCCCACCCACCTTCGTCCAATTTATTTTAGTTTTTCTACCCAAATAATGCAGTTTTAACCTATGGATGCAATTCAGAGGACGTGGACAATAGCAGCCCAGAGACAATAGCAAATGAGAATGGAAGCCAGAAGTTCATCCTAGAACCAGATTATCTACATCCTTTGAATCCAAGGTTCCAGCACCATGGACAGCAGCAAACACCTACAGTAATTTAATTAGCCCACTAATACAGATAATGAGGAAAATTTAGGTCTCCAAGCTCTAGAAACACACTTTGACAAAAAATGGCCATTCTATGTCTTTCATTGTAGTATACAAAATAAGAGCTAAACAGGCGGCAGGAATGTCTTACATTTGGGAGTCAATATGGAATTTGCTCACTTTTTAAAGATTGCCACTTTTCTGAGACACTGCCACAGAGGTGTGGTTAAATCTAAAAACCAAAGGCCAGACATCTGAAAAAATGTTCAATGTCACTGATCATCAGAGAGATGCAAATTAAAACTACAGTGAGGTATCACCTCACACCTGTCAGAATGCTACCACCAACCAATAAGTCAACAAACAAACAAGTTCTAGTGAGGATGTGGAGAAAAGGGGATCCTCATGCACTGTTGGAGGGAATGCAGACTGGTGCAGCTACTGTGGAAATAATATGGATGGGTCTCAAAAACTTAAAAGTTGGAACTGGTTTTTTTTGGGGTGTTTTTTTTTTTGGTTTTTTTTTTACCCAGTGATCCCACTTCTGGGAATATATCCTAAGAATCCTGAAACACCAAACAGAAAGAATATATGCACCCCTATGTTCATAGCAGTGTTATTTACAATAGCCAAGATCTGGAAATAGCCCACATATCCATCAGTAGATGAGTGGATAAAAAAGCTGTGGTACATTTACACAGTGGGATACTTTACAATATGCAGCTGTAAACATGAAGGAACTCTTATGCCTGGTGACAGCATGAATGGACCTGGAGATTATCATGCTAAGTGAAATAAACCAGTCAGAGAAAAACTAATACCATATGATCTTACTATTATGTAGAAGCTGATGAACAAAATAAAACCAGAGGCATAAATACGTGGAACAGACTGACAGATGTCATAGGGAAGGGTACTGGGGTTGGGGGGACTGGATAATAGCTGAAAATATTAGCCAAAGAGCATATATGCATAGCCCATGGGCACAAACAACAATGTGGTGAAGGTCAGGGGAGGGGTTGGGGGCTGGGCAGAGATAGGCAAAGAGGGGGAATGTGGAGGAACACCTGTAATAGTGTCAACAGTAATAATAATAATAATAATAATAATAATAATAATAAAACCAAAGACCAGATCCTAGACCAAGAACTCACTTTGGTTTATGCCTTCATCTTCCCTTCAATTAAGGGATGACTGGTGATGATTTCAAAAACCATACAAAGACATCCCTTTATTAGAGACTGGCTATTGCCAAAGGACAATAAGGGAAACTGAAATTTCCACAGAAGGATTTCAGAAATTACTGCCCATACACTTACCTCAGAGACCAGAAAACAAATGTGCTAAGGAACTCTGGCGGGGAAAACAGGAAATCACAGAATTGTTTTTCAAAAGGGAAAGTAATTGGTTATTTCTATTTCAGCTTAGCTAAAGCTGTAAAATCTAATCAGAAATATTTTTCACAGTGGCATCTTCTCCAAGATATTGAAATACCTCAAAACATAAACCATTTTCTATTGTTGATGCTGTTTTTGCTGGGCGAAACGAAATAATTATATCAAGCTTCACTAAAAGTAAAATAAGGCTTCTTTTTGCAAGAGACTGTAAGCATGATCATGAGTGAGCCAGTTCCCCAACCTCCACCTCTGATGCTTGAAGGAAGACATCGTTCTCTCAAGCAAACCTGACACTCAGTTCTTGAGTCCCTAGAAGCCAAATGCCAACTAGTCAGCACCCAGAAAAGGCCGCATGAAATTTCAAAGAACAGGCTTCCCACATTCTGAAGTTCATCTTGGCTTCAACAAACTGCTTCCAAGACGTCAACACGGGAATGAAATGGGTACGAGTGCATTTTTTCCCTACCTTCTCTTCTTGTGACTTCAAAGCTTCTCAATTCCTGCAAGAAAAGAAAGGCTTTGTGTTTTTGAGGAATAATTCATGTGCACAGTTACTTGCAAACATCCCACCCTTTATTACACATTTATTCACACAAAGGTGAACAATGTCATAAGAACATGACATTCAGCAGCGCTGGGTGGGTCTTAAACTCTCAACACACACATATCTGTAAAGGTAAACAACTTGTTGCATGGGAGACTTAGGGGAAAATATTATTAATTGTGCAGTTTTAAATGAGCAGAGCCAATGCTCATAGTCTTCCTTATGTGGAATCTGAGCTGGTATCAGGTGGAAGACCCGCTCCAGGTCAATACCCTACCCTCCACCTAGACTGCAGGTGCTTTGAAGGGCCTGGGGAAAACACAGATAGTCGAGGGCCAGTTATCTCACCAGCAGCGGGTTCCAATCAGTGGTGCCACAGCGAAGACCGCTATTGCTTGTGTAGGTCACTGGCATGATCTGGTGATTGATTATGCTCAATTCAATAGTTTCCCAAGGGTAGTTATCTGTGGACAATATGGAATACCAGTCCATGCCACTGACTACATTAATCCCTTGGTTTTTCTAAATACAACCTCATCTTCCTGTTACGTGTAGGGCAATAAGCAAAGTATTTTAGAAGTTACGTGGGTAAAACACACCGAGTTCCTGCATTGAAGATATTCGCAGTTGAACAGGAGGCTACAGAACAAACAGGAATTACTGAAAAATAACGGGGTTATTTTTCCTTGATAAATATTCACATTTGGCTGGAAAGGGATTTGTAAAAGAACCTTTGAACGCAGCACTGAAGAAGGGTAGGCTTTCAGATAGGAATAAGGGAGGAAGAGAGATAATAGCTTAATGAAAGGTAGGGTTTAGAATGCCCAGGAAGCAGAAAAACACCCAGTGAGAATAGGGGGACAGAGCTGAAAAACACATATTGTAGTTTCATAACTACATAAAGTATCTACAATTCATCATAGATGACCAGCTTAGTACAAAAAGCCTACTATTGAGAGTAGGCTGAAAACCCACGCTAGCAACTGAAGAAAAGAAGCTAAAACACCAAACATGAGCCAACTCTTTGCCACCACAATCAAGATGACCATTCAGTGCCAGGCCAGCACGTTTTAAACAAATGACATGGTCTTTCATACCTTAGCATTCTTGTCTAGCATTCTTTTGGGGTCAGGATGGGAAGCGGTATTAGAGAGAAAACTGAGGAGGCACTGAGAAGTTTGTCCACCCCAAACTACACTCTCTGACTGCCACCTCTGCAATGAGTCCAAAGCCCGGTGGAGGCCAATGACAGGTACACATTATAGGCTAGCAGCCAGCAGCACAGCACAACGAACCAGTGAGCTTCCGGAATGCTGGCTCCTGAGGGGACACTCACACCTCAGGGCTCAGAAGCGGGAGCATGGCCAGTGCAGTGTGTACTGAGAGATATGGTAGCCACAAGCACAGCATGCATAAGGCAAACTCAGCTCCTCCCACGTTATTCCTCCCAAATAACTAGTATTTATGGAACAGGGAAAATTGATAATCAACTTTTGTGGCTCTAGAAAAAAAAAACTTTATGGAAGTTTCATTACAAATGCATAAAATTTATAAATTAGCTTAGAGAAAGCTACCTGTGGTATATTGTTGTACCTTCTTATCTAGCAACATGGTATTTTTAATAATTGGTCTAAGTCTACTTTTATTTCTTTCAAGAGTTGTTTTTATTTTTAATCATTTTCCTTTAAGTATTTTGAATATTTTGTTTTTGTTATCATAAATGGAATTTCTCTTCCATTATATCTTCTAACTCATTTTTGTTTGTAAACATGATAGCAATTGATTTTTACATATTGATTTTATAACCAGCCACTGCATTAAATATCCTTATTGCTTGTAATAGTTTTACCATTGATTATTTTGGGGTTTCTATTTGTACAACCTATAAATATCAATGATTTTATTTTCATTTCCTATGTCTCTAGTTGCTTTCTCTTGTCTAATTGCTTTAGCTAACCCTTAATTTAATGTTAAATACTGTGGACATAGTGGGCATCCTGGTCTTGTCTCTGACTTTGAGAAAACATCTTTAGTGTTTGCCTATTAAATAAGATGTTTATTATATTAATAAAATCCATACATATTTTTTTAAATATTTAAAAAACAAATGGCCCAGCGTGTCCCCTACTTATTCACTGCCTCTTTCCCTCCACTAGAATGTATCTTTTCCAGTTTTGCATCCTCAGTGCTACATTAGAACAGATGCTCTTACACATTTGTTTAGTGAAAAAAAAAAAAAAAAAGATGTGTGTTGACTTTTATCAGACTTTCTCTGCATTTATGGAAATGATTATATTTTTTTCCTCCTTAGCTCTATTGATGACTTATTTAGTAGATTTCATGGTATTCAATTATCCTTGTATTTCTGGAATAACTTTTCTTTTAAAATAATTCTTTCTTTTCTTTCTTTATATTTTTTATTGAAGTAACATTGGTTAATAGCATTTTACAAATTTCAGTTGTATATTAGAATTCAATATATGTATACTGTATTGTGTGCTCACCCACCAAAAGTCTAGCTTTAATTTGTCACCATATACTTGATCCCCTTTACCCATTTTATCCTCCCTCACACCCCTTCCCCTCCAATAACCACCAATCTGTTGTCCATATCTATGAGTTTGTTTGCTACTTTTTTGTTTTATATTCCACATACTAGTATGCATGAAATCATATGGTTTTTATCCTTTTCTGTCTGACTTATTTCCCTAGCAAAATACGCACAGGTTCCAGTTATGCTGTTACAAATGGCAATATTTTACCTTTTTATGGCTGAGTGTTATTCCATTGTGTATACTGTTCTATATATACCACTGTGTATTTTTAAAACCGTGCTGCTAAATTCTGTTTTCTATGATTTAAATATATTCTTGCATTAATAGTCATAAATAAGAGTAGTCTATAACTTTTAGGTGCTGTTTTTCTCAGTCTTAGGAATTAAAGTGATTCTAGTTTCATATAATGTATTTGGAAGTTTTCCTTTATTTTGCTGTAAATAGTTTAAAAATGAGATTATCTGATCTTTAAAGGTTTCTTCAACTTCATTTCCCAGGTAGTTATTAAAATGAGAGTAAGGGGAAGGTCAGAGGTTAAAACTTCAAGTTTTGGTCAACGGCCAGCTGAGATTTAAATTCTAAAGTCTTGACTCCAAAGCTTCTGCACATAACATTCCATCTTTATTTAATTCATAAAGACAGTGTGAAAATTAGATGAAAGAAACTTCTGCTTCAGGCTATAAAAGAATACCTGGTATTAAGCCAATCCTATTCAGAAAAAACTATAAAAGTTGTTTAAGAGGTTTTTAAAATTCTCAACAATAACATCAGAAAAAGTTTTTGAAGGCACATAAGAACAACAAAAGCAGCCAAAACTTAAAGAGCCAATATTTGGAGAGAAGAAAAGTCCATTGAAGTGAGCCTTGTATTCACCGCCACATTTTTCCTTTGGGGCATTTGCAGTTTTGCATAGAAGCCAAACAGAAAGTGATGGTTTGGAGCTTTAAAAAGTCTCACGGTATATGGGTTGTGGCTACTGAAGTATCCAGAACGTGAGCATCTAAAACGTGGAGGAAAAGAACCAGGAAGAAGTGAGCCCAATATGCTCCAAAGAGTTTCCTAGTGCGTTATATGGTTATGCCTGGACTGCACTTAAGGGCAAGAAGTTGAGAGAGAAAAAGCAAAAACACAAACAAACAAACAAACAAAAAACAACAACAACACAAAAAAAACCAACACAAACAAACAATAACTAGCTTCAAATAAGCTAAATAAACTAACCATAGATTTTGACAATATCATGATGCTACAGGGACAAAAAATTAGGCTTTCCAAAAAAGTGTAGCCCTAGTAAAGGTAGCTTTCAGTTAAGATCATATATTTTCAAAGAACTTCTTTTCCTGAACAGATCAAAGAAAAGTAAATCCTCTGTGGAAGACAATAAGTTACCCACAGACTTTATAATTTTTCATATGTGATGTCCAGCAAACAATTCAAAATTAATAGGCATTGCAGGAAATGGGATCAAATGACTAAAATCCAATTAAGTAGACAGCAGATACAGACCCATAGGTTATCCAGATTTAGAATTATCAGACAGAATAATAATGACTAATATGTTCAGGAAAATAAAAGAAAATATGTTAAATTTCACTATGAAATTAGAATATATTAAAATAAGAATCAAACGGAAATTCTAGAACTGAAAATTAAATAACTGAAAGAATGTTTTATTGATTCATTTTAGAGAGAGGAGGGAGGGAGAGAGAGAGAGAGAGAGATGTTGTTCCATTTATTTATGCAATCCTGACCAGGGATCAAATCCACAAACAACCCTGGCATATCGGGACAATACTCTAACAATTAAGCTACCCAGTCAGGGCCTAACAGATAAATTTAATAGCAGCTTAAACATAACTAAAGAGAGAACTAGTAAAATAGAAGCTAGATCAGTAGAAAATAACCAAACAAAAGATCTGAAAGAGAGAAATAAAAAATGAGAAATACAGAAGAGTATAAGAGACATTATGGCACATGGTGAAATGGTCTAACAAGCATGTAATTGAAGTTTCAGAGTGAAAGGAAAGGGGAAAATAGGTAGAATCAATATTTGAAGTGATATTGGTTGAGAATTTCCAAAATTAATGAAAGGCATGAAACCAGAGATTTAGGAAGCTCTAAAAGTCCAGTAAGATAAATACAAAGAAAAACACTTGAATATACAGAGAGAGAAAAAAGTCTTGAAAATTGCCAGAGGGAAAGCAGAGGGGTGAAAAGGATATATTACTTACAAAGGAATAACAATAAGAATGATGGCTGACTTTTCAGGCAAAAAATAATGGATTCAGAAAACAAATGGCATCTTTACGATTCTGAAAAACACTTAGAAATCTAAACTCAGTGAAAATATGGGAATTCATAAAATAAAATAAAGACTTATATAAACAAATAAAAACTGAGA